CTCTCTCTCTCTCTCTCTCTCTCTCTCTCTCTCTCTCTCTCTCTCGTGAAAGTCTATTTTTGCCAAAAACTTTCACTTCTTATATAAATTTCTGGGCTTTTGTTGCGAAAATACATTAAATTTTTGTCAATAAAAACAGAGAAAATATATATAAAAAAGAATTGTATTTCTATGCGAGAAATGAATACATAAAATATAACAAAAATTTATTAGTTTAAAGTCAAGAGACAACTATCTATTCAATGTGTTATATATAAGCAATAATAAATTTATAATAAATTTTTATCAACATCTTCTTTAAGGTCTTTGACATTACATTTGATAACTCAAAAAATGGGAACCATTTCTGCGATAAATGATTATCATTTTCAATCATAAAACTCAAACCAAATTGATTTTTATTATCAAACTCGAGATTCGCTTATCAAATAGATTTGAAAACTTATATTCAATATTGATATTTGAAACGAAAAATGTAAAATTCGTTTGAATTAAGAAAGTGAAACTATATTTGTGTCAATTTATTTAGTTATTGTGTATTCAGGAAAAAATAAAATATTTTATTTGAATTGACTTTATATTAGATTATGATCCGAAGGAATAATAGATTGATTTGATTATTGTGTTATCGACTCTCACTTATAGTGTTTGGTTATCGCGAATCTAACCGTTAAGTAGACTTTTATACATATATTACATAAAATATTTGGGAAATTTAACCGTCAAAAAAGGAGTATAAAAAATGGTAAATTAAAAATCAATGTTAAGGCTCTTAAATATATTGTTATACAGAGCTCTCACACAACGAATTTATTGACTGATATAAAACATTCTCTCATTTTTTAGATTGAATTTCGTTTCTAAATATATATAAGAAAGTAAAGAATATAATGAAAATATCATTTTATATACACTTAGAGAGAGAGAGAGAGAGAGAGAGAGAGAGAGAGAGAGAGAGAGAGATGCAATTTATGTCAATTGTTTGCATTTTATATTCAAAGTAGTGTCGCCAACATAACCATCAAAATTATGGGTTTAAATATATATTTGTGTGGGAATTGGGAACAAATATCTTTTTTGTATTTTTTTCTGTTATTCGTTAAGTTGACAGATAATAACAGTATTTTTATCAAGGTAATAAAGATTAATCTCTCGCTATTATATTGCGATTATTGGTATTAAACTTTGTGCTCTACTTTTTTTCATCACTTTATCGCTAACTGTTAGTAATGTTAAGCGCTATAAATGTTTGGTAACCCCTCTCTTCCCTTCGTTCTCTCTCTCTCTCTCTCTCTCTCTCTCTCTCTCTCTCTATTTGATAGTATTTTACATTTTATACAATACAATACACACTCTTTTGGGGCAATTAATAAAAGGCAACCGAAAAACACGAAACTCTACTTTCAAACAAAGACAACAAATAAGTCATGGAAATAATGATTAGACGATTACACCTGTAATTACTTTTAGTGTTAAACATTCAGACGTTTCGCTTAAATAGAAATCTATGCCTTTTTTGTTGTGTATGTGTTTAGACGGCGTTTGAGACTCTAATCTATATATAGTTTGCATTGCATTACAAATTTGTTTGACATCTTCTTCTTTCAACTTTCCATACAAGATCTCTCTCTCTCTCTCTCTCTCTCTTCATTTAGTACTCATATCCCCCTCCCCGTTCAGGTGCCCCAGGGATGCGACACTATTCGCGCCCAATATAAAATGCAAACAATTGACATAAATTGCATCTCTCTCTCTCTCTCTCTCTCTCTTCATTTGATAGTATTTTACATTTTATACAATACAATACACACTCTTTTGGGGCAATTAATAAAAGGCAACCGAAAAACACGAAACTCTACTTTCAAACAAAGACAACAAATAAGTCATTGAAATAATGATTAGACGATTACACCTGTGATTACTCTTAGTGTTAAACATTCAGACGTTTCGCTTAAATAGAAATCTATGCCTTTTTTGTTGTGTATGTGTTTAGACGGCGTTTGAGACTCTAATCTATATATAACTTTAGTTTGCATTACAAATTTGTTTGACATCTTCTTCTTTTAACTTTCCATAGATTTCTCTCTCTCTCTCTCTCTCTCTCTCTCTCTCTAAATAATTAAAACAATTATTTATTGTTTTGAATTTTATCAAATGATTTTATTTAATAATTTGTATTTGTTTTATATATTAATGTATTATAACTTATATACGATTAAAAGTAAATCAATATATTTATTAAATTATGATAAATTGAAATTTATTTAATAAATCGTATTAAAAAATTATAAAGAGATTACAATTATAACCAACAGTTAGACGTCTATAGCGTTTGTATCGTTGAATGTCTTAAGAATAATGAAGAGGAGGAATAGAGTGGCGCTTCCGATGACATCGATTATGGCCGTCAGGATTGGGATGGCGTTGAGGTCCGGGTCGTGTCCGTAATACCAGAACCCATGTGTAAACACATATGTGATGTACAATAGAAATATTGACTAAACATTTAATATCAGAAACAAATAAAACCAAAATTAAATCTCAATATTGATGTGAATTGTAAGATAAGAATCAAATGAATACTGACTTTAACGAAAGTGACCGACAAATACAATGAGACAAACACTACATTCAAATCAAAGTCTTCTTCGTATTGAGTAATACTAATGACCAGAATATACAATATATGGCACGGAATCACAATCACTAATAGTATTATAGATGTCCTCGAGTTTGGGTTATCTGTAAATGAGAAATGAAATTAATGTTTAACCACTAATAATAACATATTAAACAACACCTTTTGAACATAAAATATAATAAAAAGACACAAATATTCTGAACTTGTTGTCAACGGTTCCAATGGGTCCCTTTCGGTGCAGTGAAGTCGATATTCTTGAGGCCTGAAGTGCGACACAAATACCGGAAAACCCATTGAACAACGGCTGAAATGTTGCCAATCGTTCAAACTGTTGATCGGCTTTCCTGAAGATGAAACCACTGGCGGATGAGATGACCATCGCTGTGATAATAGGCGCCCAACTATTTGTCAATATTTTACGTGTTTTCTTATTCCTATACGTGATGGTCAACAACAGGGGCTCAAGAACTATGAAAAACACGATAACAGCCATCGATTCAACAAAATATTTCAGTCTCTCGTTTGTGTTCACAAAAGACCAGACAAAACACGTCAACGCTATTAGAGTTACCAAATCTCCGAGCGATGAAGCCATTGGTGTCGCAAAATCATCAGGGTCGTGGCCTAACATTTCTACATATTAGTACAAAACAAATCAAATCATATTTTTATTACCATAATGTTTGGACATAACAATCACCAGTGGTATAGTAATTCCTGTAGATTGCAAAAAAACAATTTGTTTAATAACTTTAAGCTTAAATGATAGGATATTATTTGATACCGAGTATAAAACAGGCGGTATTTGATGTCAATAAACCGATGGCACAGAGAATAACACCCGATGTGTGCGAGAACTCAACCATAAGTGGGAAGAGTATGGCTATAAATGAGACAATCGTGGCCTGACTTTGAACCAAAATCATGTCATCCCTGATCTCAATCCAGATGTCTTTCCACGAAACCAAGTCTTCGCGAATGTTCATCAGTGTTGACATTCTTGAGGCGGTTGTCATCTCCAGATTGCCCTTCAATCCCATCAACGGATTAATCAAAATCATTAGTCCAGTGAATGACCGAAACTCTGGCCAACGTTTCACCGCAAACAGCAAAAGGCCGGCAAACGTTTGGATGAGTCCGGAGAGCAAAATGATTAGAAACTGCATTATGTCTGTCGTCTTATGTGTTGTCATTTGATAAATACAGAGAATTACCACTAAAATAAACAAATAAATGCCTAAATAACCCAATTTTAGAGCCGAATCCTTATAGTGCTTGGGTTTATGAGTGGATGTATTATTTAGTGAATCAATGGTTATATTAGTTAATGAATTGGTTGTAGAATCGAGAGAAACGATTTCGGTATAACTGTTTGATTCTGTACTTAAATTCTGCTTAAATTACGAGTTATTAATTCAGTATTATTTAATGTTTTATTGCATATCAATGGATACAATACCTGTGTTTTAACATCGATTACAATACAGATAATGACCAACACTTTGAGGAATGAAATCATTTTACAAGTCTTTCACAAATTGTTTAAAAAAACAACTATTGTTTTAAACAACAGAATTTTAAATAAGTGCGAGGTTATCTTAAATTAATTATTATTAAAGCATTGATTTGAAGTTAAATAACTTTTTCTCCCGAAAGCGGAGAACCTCCTGAAAGTTTGGGGGCACACGCTATACCCCTTTGGGAGTATTTTAAGAGAATTTTATTTCACCTTTTTAGCACCTTTTGGGACGTTGTCACCTTTAGTAACTTTTTAGTAACTTTTCACCTATTTTGCAAATTTTATACGAAATTAATGGATATTTTGATCGATTTGCAGAAATTGTTCAACAATTTGATAGCGAAGAATCGGGTTTTTATAGAGGAATTGAAAGAATTGATTGTGGATATTAATGTTACAAATTAATTGGCATTCATTTATGCTAATTTAGATTAAAATCTCAAAAAGTATTTTGTGATATAATTTAATTCAAAAAATTGATGTAATTAACCTTTTTAATGTACTATTTTAATGCAAAATAACTAACTTTTTCTTAACTTTTTACCACCTTTTTATCACCTTTTTAGCCATTTTTAAGCAACTTTTTAAGTACCTAAAACACATTTTTAGTCACCTAAGAATCAATGCTTTAATTATTATTTTTTAATTATAAATTGCAATTAACTTATAATCGTTGAGCTAGAGTATTGTTGGCATTATTTCTCAATAGTGGTTCAATAGCTATAGTCACAAATGAATACTAAAAATATCTCATTATAATGACCAACACTTTGAGGAATGAAATCATTTTACAAGTCTTTCACAAATTGTTTAAAAAAACAACTATTGTTTTAAACAACAGAATTTTAAATAAGTGCGAGGTTATCTTAAATTAATTATTATTTTTTAATTATAAATTGCAATTAACTTATAATCGTTGAGCTAGAGTATTGTTGGCATTATTTCTCAATAGTGGTTCAATAGCTATAGTCACAAATGAATACTAAAAATATCTCATTTTTACACTTCATTTCTCTAAATTACATGAATATAATAATTATATATAAACTTGAGTCAAACTTATACAGCATTTGCATCATTGAAATGGCGAAGAATAACGAAGAGGAGGAATAGGAAAGCGCTTCCAATGACATCTATTATGGCTCTCAAGATAGGGATCGCATGGATGTCCGGATCGTAACCGCAATACCAAACCCAATGTGTGAACGCATACGTTATGTGCAATAGAAGTGTTGTCTAAGCATTTAATTGTCAAATAAATTATTACAAATTTAATGTCAATTAAAACTAAGAAATCAAATCAAAACTAACTTTTATGAGAGAGACTAATGAATACAAGAAAACAAATATATGATTCAAATCAAAGTCTTCGCCGTATTGTGTAATACTAATGACCAGAATATACAATATATGGACCGGAATGTCGATTAACAATAATATTGTAGATGTCTTCGAGTTTCTATTTTCTGAGAGAGAGAGAGAGAGAGAGAGAGAGAGAGAGAGAATGAAATAAATATTAAAATTGGATTGTAATACCTTTTGAACAGAATATATAATAAAAAGAGACAAAAATTTTAAATTTCTTGTCAACGGTTCCAATGGGTCCCATGCGATGAAGTGATGAGGATATGCCTGATGTGTGTTGAGACATACAATTGCCCGAAAACCTATTAAACAACGGTATAAATATCGCCAATCTATCAAACATTTTATCCGCTTCTCTAAAGATGAAACCACTTCCGGATGAGATGATCATCGATGTAATAATCGGAGCCCAACTTTGTGTCAGTATTTGTCGCGTTTTTCTGTTCCCATACGAGAGCGACAACAACAGGGGCTCAAGAATTATGAAAAACACGATAATAGCCACCGATTCCGGGAAATTACTTAATCTGTCCTCTGGATCAACTAATGCCCAGACATAGCCCGCCAACGCCATCAGAATCAGTAAATCACCCGCCGATGAGATCATTGGTATTGAAATATCATATGGATTATGGTCTATGAGTTGATATGAATTTAATTAACATAGTTTGTAATTTGAAATCTCGACAACTTTTACCATAATATTTGGATATAAGCATTGATAACGACAGCACAACACCTATTAATATATAAAATGACAAAATAGTTTAATAACATATAACTTAAACAGAAATGACATTTTGATACCGAGTATAAAAGAGGTTGTATTTGATGTCAACAATCCTATGGCGCAAAGTATAGCACCGGATAAGTGGGAGAATTCAATAATCAATGGGAAGAATACGGACACCGACGACATAATCATGGACTGGCTCTGCACCAGAACCATACCATCCCTGAACTCAAGCCATATGTCTTTCCACGAGACCAAGTGATACACATTATTGTCCATCAATGAAGACATTCTGGACACTGTTGTTGTCTCTAAATTATTTTTCAATCCCATCAATGGATTAACTAAAATCGTTAGTCCACTGAATGACCGAAACTCTGTCCACCGTTTGATATGATTCAGCAAAATGCCGGAAAACGTGTGGACCAGACCCGAGAGATAAATGACCAGAAAGTGTATCACATCTCTCTTGTTATGAGTACATAAGTAATAAATGATTGTAAATATTGCCGAAACCACTGTATGAATGCCCACTAGACTTAATTTAAAGTGAGTATTCTTATAGTGTTTGTGTTTATGGCTGGAAGTGATGGTTGTATTGGTTGAGGAATTGTTTGCCCTATTGTTTGTCAAATTGTCGGCCGAATTAGGTGTCTCATCGAGATATAAAATGTCGGTAAAACTGTCAGATTCTGTGCTATAATTGGTCTGTTTTATAACATGTCAATTAAATATATTAATAAAATTGTAACATATTTATTAATGGTTATAATACCTGTGTTTTAACCTCGATTATAATCGAGATAATTATCAACACTTTGATGACTGAATACATTTTATCACTTACTGTATGCCATGAAAAATAACATTTAAATCATATTCAAAGAGTGCGAGAGCAATCTAAAATATTTAATTTAAAAAATACAAATTAACCAAAATAAAATTATACAATCATTGAGATAAACAATTGTTGTGATTGTTATAAAAATGACCATTAATTAGCTTATGAGCTCAAAGTTAACACAAAATGCTTGATTTATTTTAATTTTTCTTTTAATCTAATTCTACGTTAGATTTTGTATTTAAATCTTTGCATTCAATACTTAATGTGATGACAATTATATGCAAAATTTAATTTGTTTGTATGATTGCATTTATTTTGTTTTTTATTAATTAGATTTATTTTAATTATTTGCAATTATAATGAAATTAAAAACAAGTCAAAACTAAACTTTACTTTGAAATACAGTACTATTAGTGTTAAAAAAAG